CGCCTGCACTGCGTCGGCCTGCCCGGCCCCGCCCCGCCCCGCGCCCGGCGCCCGCTGCAAGCCGGCGCCCCCCTTGCACGACAGCCACACAATTCGTCGGCTCGCCTCGCCGGCGCCCGCGCCCGCGCCGCACCCCGAGTCAGCCTCTGGGTGCGCTACAGCCTGATTCGCGGCAGCAGGGTCGGCAGTGTCGTCGCGCCACCCAGCGCCTGCTGGCCCTGCAGTACCCTGAACACCGGCCTTTGTCCCGGTTTCATACATACCTACGCACGTCCAAATTGGGGAATGATTGAATTTTTTGTACGGTGTCAAATGCTTACCGCTGTACATACATCGATCGTGCCTCATCGGCCACCCCCTGGCCCCCTTGTGTTGCTGCCAGGGCGCTCGCCGCAAAGCGCCACAAGCGCGAGCGCGCGCTGCTCTGCGGCTGCAGCGCCGGCGGCGCCGCGGCGGCGGTTGCGCTGCCCTTCATAGAGGCCGCCCTCGGGCCGCCCGGCGTCGCGGCGGCGGCCGCGGTGCTCCTTGCCAACACTATTGCAGGTGCGGCACCCCCACCTCCCCCCCCCTTCTGGAGGCCGACGCTTTTACTGCCTGCTGGCATGGGCAAGGTCTGTCGCGCTCTGAGGCGCGCCTGAACGTGCCAAATCCGCCCTTCGTTTGATGGAGGGTGCCCCCTTGCTGACATTCAACGCGTGCAGCCCACCCCACGCCCCACAAACAAGTCAGAACCCACCGCACCCATGCGCTGACCTCTGCCGCGTCGCGCGCGCCCCGCGGCCCCTCCAACCTCAACCCCGGCCCCTCGCACCCGCGGACTGCTCCCCGGACTGCACCTCCGGACTGCGCAGTCCACGGGGCGTCCTACCTTCTATTCGGCTCCGCGGGCCCCGCGTTTCCAGAGTCGTACGAGCACGAGGACGGCGGGGTCTACCGCGGGGAGTGGCGGGGCATGAGCAAGGAGGGCCTCGGCGTCTACACGTGAGCACAGAGGGGAGGGGCGCGGGGTGTCGATCCCGATCGAATGTTGAGCCTCTCGTCGGCTCGGCGCCAAAACGTTGAACTCGAAGGCCAGCAGGATTGCCGGAACGCCGGCTGATCCGGGCGCCCGTTCCATCGATCCCGGCGGCGCCCGGCTGCAAGACAAGCGCCGCCCCCGTGCAACGCCGCGGCGGCACCGCGCCGCGCCGCGCCGCACCCCGCCGCGACCGCCCCCGCCCGCGCCGCAGGTACGCGTCGGGGGCGCGGTACGAGGGGGAGTGGCGCGGCAATGTGAAGGACGGCCGCGGGGTCTACTACTACCCCAAGGCGCGTGAGCCCGCGTGTCCCCTTGATAATCATGAATTTACAGTCACTTACATTCACGTACATATGAAAATACATATATGTGTATGTTTTTTGACGTGTTTTACCCATGCTCCTCCCAGCTATCATCGTATCCCAAACGCTGCGATTCAAATCGAAAGCGGTTGCCCTCATGCGGCACATGCCGCTCCGCCGCCGGCGAGCGACGGGCGGCAGGGCGCAACGGGCGCCCGGCGTCTCGCAGCTGGTCCGCCCTGTACCCTGCCCCTGAACCCCAGCTGCCCACCCCGCGATGCGGGGCCCCGGCTTTGCTTATGAGGAGCAAAGCGGGCTCTCGGGCGCCACACTCCCGTAAAAGCGCTCGCCTCAACTCAACACCACGCCGCAGCGAAACCCTCCGACCAAAACCCCGCGCCGCCTCCGGCCCCCTCCTCCGCTAGACGGGCTGCCCCACCTGCCCCCTCCCCTCCCATCCCGGCTTCCCACCCACCTACCCACCCTTCCCTTCCCTTCCACTCATCAAACCATTCGCATCCAATTTGACAGGGCGGCACGTATGAAGGCGAATGGTCTGCCGGCGCGATGGACGGCGTCGGCGTCCGCACCTATAGCAGCGGCCGCGTCGAGGCCGGAAGGTGGAGGGGCAGCAGGCTGGAGGCGCCCCTAGAGCTGTGGCAGTGCGCGGCCGCGGCCGAGGGCGCGGCCGAGTCGGCCCTTGCCGCGCGGTCGGTGCC